AATGCTTCTTTTTTTCACCTTCAGCTCATAAAAATAAATCTCTCTTGCTCTGTCTATAAATTTATTAGCAAAGAAGTGCAGTGTTGATGTTTGCTATACCAAAGAATGAAAACTAACTCAAGAAACAGTACATGACAAAAGTGCAAAACAGGACAACACAAGGGGAAGAAATTAATTCAATATTTTATTTTTAGCTGAACAGATTGGGTGACAAAATGCATATTTTTAAGTGGTCTAATCAACTGGAACACATTTTTGTAAGTCATCAGCCCATATGAGCTGTTATGTTTTGTCAGAATGCTGTTGAAATAAATATCTTAAAACGAAAGCTTATATTTTTGTAAGTAAGAATATGATTTATTATTCATAAAAACATCAAATTAATTTTCAGAATGGCAAAAGGGGCACAGCCAAGCACTAAGGCAGGAGAGGACATTTTTTGTAGAAATCTTGAGTTCAACAGAACATTGCTTCCTTCTTGCGAGCAGCGGTGGCCTGTATTGTACTGCTCACACTGTTGTCTTGTGTCCTTAAATCCGATGACCCAGTCCTGGCCCTGCTGCACACTTTTCCATGACCCCGAGGTAAATATTTGCATTTCTTTTGCTTTAGTTCCTGACTGGAAGAAAGAGAAAAGAAGTCTTCCTTTCCCCTTCTCTGAGTTTCCTTTATTTGCGCAACTCTGGGGTAAAGAGCCATGCCTGATTTATAAAGGATGTTTAAAGATGGTGTAGCTACTAGCTACAGATATTTTCCAACTGTGCAGAAGTACCTAGGATGTTGTTTTGTACTTCTCCAGAGGAGCATAGAAGAGAGGAATTCCTGCTTACGCAAGAAGGGGGTCTTTGTTGAGGAGTTTCCCTAAGGGGGTAGAGGAGGATGAGTTCCCTGCTTGGGATGGTTTCTGGATCCTACTCCGCATGGGTGGAGATGATAAGGGCACTGAAGCAGTGAGCCTGAGAAGGTAGTCAGCTGATTTGTCAACTTTTCTCCAAACCTCCTAAGCAAGCTCCTCTGGCAAACTTCATCGGAGATGACTGGATTCTGACATCTCAAAATTATTGCTGCATAATTTGAAACACACCTGTTCATCACTCACGTTTAGCCTTGTGAAATGCATCTCATTAACACCTTCTGGTTAACCTCACTGGAAGTATTCTGCAATAGCTAGTTGTTAGGAGGGGACAGAACAGAATTGCCCAACGTGATTTACACACAGGATTTCTGTGCCCAAACGATAAACCTCAAATTAGAGTTAAAAATTAGCTGTATGTCTTAGATCACAGTGGGCAATTAAAAACTGATTTCTGTGGGTAGCTTGTACTGAAATAGAAACAATCTTGGCTTATTTTGGCTGTTGCTGATACCTCTTAGTAGCCTGTTTTTGTTAACCGATATAATGAAAATGCTGCCGAATTTGAGTGGGCGATGCTATATAGTAATGCAAATAATTCAGCTCAGGCCTGACTTCAGTGGCTTCAGAAAGGCAAGGTAGAGGTGGAAAATCCGGCTTCACCAGTAAAGAGAAAATAGTTACTCTGAAGGCTGCCAGAAAATTGAAGATCCTCAATAGTGCACCATCGTTTTGGTAAAGAAAATGTCTGTTTCAGGTATAGAGAAAGAGTCCCAGCTCACCCAGTGTTCAACAGAGCTGAATAGAGCACATCAGTGAGTTCTTCCCCAGGAAAAAGACAACAATCAAATGTTTTGCTGTAGATTAAGCTGTCCTGCTTGACACATGGTGAACTTTGATGGCAGTTTCTCAAGGTCTACTGTACAATTCGATATGCAGTCCCAGCTCCTAATCAGTCTTTGGATGTGCTGCTAAAATGTTGGTTAAAAGCGTTCTTCAGGAAGGAAGGACACATCAGGCAACACCATTCAAACTCTGATTGGTTTTATATTTAAAATTATTCCTCAGGATCTTGACATAGAAGCAATCAGATACTTCTGAAAGCGTGCAAGTGTCCTTTGCCTGAACATAAGTAGGCACTTACGAAAGAATTTGACTATGTTCCTTTTGTCTTCCCTCTCACCTTTTTTCTTTTATCTCTTTTCTTTCTTTTTATTTTTGCTTTTTTTTAAAAAACTTTCTTCTTTCTTTCTTTCTTTTTTCTTTATTTCTTTTCCTTCTTTTTTTTTTTTGTTGCTTCTTTTTGGGTGCTCCTCCTAAGATAATTAAGTGTATTTCAAAGGGCAATTGGCTAGGACTTAGTTTTCCTAATTTATTATTTTCTCCCTTGACTCTGAAATGTAATCACACTGCGTATGTGTGTTACTAGTAAAATATGTGTTAGATGTCATTGTAGCTGGAATTCACAGAAGTGTAACTCCCCTGTATGGATAAAAGCTGACTACACTAATTTGGAAATAGAGCTTTTGTATTGGGCTGGGCAAAGTTTTCCTAATCTATTGAGGGAGCCTTGGTAAGAGTTTGCTGCTGACTGAAGATGTGGCCTCTTCCAGATGGTGAGGGTTGCCACGGTGGACAACCACAGTGTTCCTCGCCGAGCTTCAGCAAAGTGCCAGAGCTTGCCACGTGCCCGGCCGCACGGTTCCACAGCCACAGAATACAGACCTGGCGAGGGAGGAGGAGTTTAAGGAAATATTTTTCAGCACAATGAGATATATTCTTAGCAATAGCTTAAGATAATCAATATAAATGCTGTTTTTCTTTCATGTTAGGTCAAAGCATGAGTTCTAGTAGATTGAGACATAAACTGTGTTATCAAATGATTTTTTTAAAGAATTACTAGCTAGTGACTGTTAAATTTTAAGACATATTTGCCTTCATGCTCAGACTCCATTAGCATTTTAATTTGGACCAGGAGTGTGCTTTTGAAAGGAATTTCTCACTCCATTCTTCCCCACTTACCACACTTTGGTTTACATGAGAGAGTGGTGTCAGGACACATCGGCTGGATTCATTTTGGTTAAAACTAAACTGAGAGGTCCACTCCAGAAGTTTTCTCCCATGCCCACAGAACAGAACACCATTAGATTGTGTACTCACGTGTTTCCATTTTCCCCAGATATTATTGTGACTTTTTCAGCTCCCATGCAGCCTCTGTGTACATGACCTCGATGCTTTTTCCAGAGAAACTCAACTTTTGAAATGTTCCCAGAAATTTCTGTATCAATATAGTTCAAGTATGTGTTGCCTGGTTTGAAGGTTCCCCTGCCAAACAAAAGCACAGAAGTGATGCTCTGTGTTCTTTACAAATGAGGAAAAAAATGCTACAGGTTAGGCAGAAAGCGAGATGAGGTGTGGGATGGACGCTATGAGGGTTGAAGCCTTGAACACTACGGTTATAATTTTTCTACTTTTATTTTTAAGTAATTACCAATCAGAGACGTTAGGCAAGATTTTACCTTAGAACTTGGACTTGGGAATATGTTCCTTGGGGAATGCACAGGGCTCTTGGTGCAGAGCCTCATGCAGATCTGAGGCTTTCGGCTCAGGCAGCAGGGGATCATGTCTCAGGTCCAGAAACACCAAGCTCTGTCCTCTCTGCTGAATAGTCATTCAAGTCATGTAGCAAAGTCTTTTGTAAAATATTTGGACCTTAGATTTTTTGTAAATAAAATCTATCAATTATTTTTTGGACAAACATTGTAACAGGGCTAAACTTAAGGGAAGAACAAAAAACTCCCACTATCTAATCTATACCTATATCTATATCAAATGCACGTTTCATTTAACCTTTTTTGTAAGGATTAGGAAGGAATGTCTCATTGCCACTTTGGTTGAATTCTTCCTCCAAATCAGTATTGCAATTTTTTGCCTTCCCTGAAGCTGTTGTGACAGTGTTGAGGCTAACCTCATCTCTACCAGATGATTTACCCTGAATACCTGGAGGAAGTTCTGAGGACTAAACGTCACTTTTTTTCTCCTTTGGTTGAAGTCTGTGGTGCAGTTGCAACTAGGCAAATTGACCAAGGCCACAGAGTCTCTGTATTAACCTTACTTGAGAAAGCATTTCCTGCTTATAGAAGGATGTTATTCTGCACCTCAGTAAAGGCTTTCAGCCTATCAACCCAATGTATAGGCTTGTTGGTACCTAAGGAGGGAGATGGCTACTCAGAGGGATCTACAAAAGTATGCAAATGACTTAGTTTCTTACATTTCTGTGTCTTTCAGGATGATAACACTAGATTAGTTAGCTCAGCCTTTGACAGTATTGTTGTGGGGTGACAGTGTTGAACTAGTGACAAATTCTAGTTGTTATTTTTTGTAAATGGCATCTACCTTCGAAGAAGTCCAGGTCAAAAAGTTCTCCTAGTGTTTCTGCTTGCTTTCAACCATGAAGAAAATTGAAAATTATAGTGTACATTCCTGTCTTCTGTGGTATCGGTGTTCGTTATAATGGAATGCGCGTTACAGTGTGACATTGACGTAGAAATTATCTGTCAGTGTATCGCTGCAGTAGTGTATTTGCAACCAAAGGTGCTCCTGGTACAGACCAGTAACAGGGCTGTGTTCAAGCACAGACGAGGCTGGTTTTACAGTGTTTAAACTGTGTTCTTGACAAAGACAGTTTGAGATTTAAATTCACCTTTACTGGAAAAAGTCAGTCCGAGTGGACAGGAATCCCAGACTCCAGCACAGTTCACAAGCACGCTGCAACTTTCTTACTCACATATTCCCTAGAGGAGGGAATGGTCAAATGACTGTACACTGTGCAGCTCTGACTTCTCAGAGAAGATCACCCAATGATGTGGCTGCGTCCAGCAGTAGCCACAGGGCTCTTTGCTCTTGCCTACTTTGTTATGCTAACTGTCATCCTCAGGAAAGAGAAGAAAATACAGAGCAAGAGAGACCAGCACACAGATTTTGACCACAATCTGTAGCACGGAGAACTTCAGCCACTTATCAGCTATTTCTATTACCACTGTAAATCACAGGACACGTAGAAGAAGATGAAACATATAAAAATAGCTGTGTATATATTCCATATGATAACAATGATAGAGCTATTTTTTCCACAGTCCTGTTAAACTTACTTGTCAATTGTATACTTTTTCCTGATCCCATTAGTTCCAGTCAAGGCTACATCTATATTTCCCTTCATGGCTTCTGTTGCAGATACTCTGACATGTACCTCTTTTCGCCAGCCTTCGAAAGGAAAATGAAATAGTTTGTGGTTATAAGATTTCTTTCCTAATGGTAAAACTTCTTATATGTTTCAGTGCCTTTCAGGGAGAGGGAAGGATTGTGCGAATGTGCTTGTACGCAAACAAAATGTCGCTCTTTATTAGGGCAAATGTTAGTTCAGTGTGATTCTTGTAGTATTAATTTCCTTGACAGTGGTCTAAATCGCAGATCCAATCTTAGCTGACCTCCTGACTCTGCCGAGTATTTAACCTGCCATGGCCAGTGCTGTACTTTGCTCTTCCACTTGGTCTCACTTTTAATTTTGTAATTTCTTACACTTGGGAACAACGTGGGGGGTCTCATGGGCAGCCTGTTAGCTCTCAACTGTGAAGTCCAATCCACTGGACTGCTGTGTTGTTAAAATTATATTAAACGAAACTGGCTGCTTTCCCAGGATGATCCCAATATACAGAATGTTTAGGGTTTTTCTTATACCTGTGCACAGCTTGACAGCCGTCAGGGGTCCTGTCATCCCGCACATCTGTCTAAGGCAGAAGCAGGGCCTCAGATGCAATAGCACGTACTGATTTCAAGCAACCAGGATTGGGAAGTTTCTGTACTGGCTTTAATTCAGGCTATCAAAAGGAGAATGTCTTCACCCAATTCATGAGGTTATATTTGGTTTCAGGCTGATTTCTATAAACTCAGCAATTTGTAGATGTTGAAATGAATGTATTCATTCAGATTTCAGAAATGACTAGTTTCTCTGCACTCCCAGACCTTCTTTCTTTTATTGTCCTTGCAGTTCATCACCTGTGATGGATTACAATTTATTTACAAATTTTCTTATTTGCCAGTTTTGTGGCTGCTTCTACATTAATCACAACTAAAATGACTTCCGTATTACTCCCTGCCATTTTGACTTGATGAGCTTTGCAAAAATACCTTGAAATGATCTAGTTTGTAAATTTTTGTCAATCAAAACTTTCAGCATAACATTCCCGCCACCTTAAGCTTTATATAATTTTTTAAGCCATCATCTAATTAACATTTTGGCATTTATCCTGACTCAGAGGTCAGCATCAGTTGATCTGTTTCTATAATTATCTCAACCTTTCTCAGATAATGCTGGTACTGTGTGTTCCTAACATACCTGAAACTCTAGGTTTTGTACTGACTGCCACTCGTTAACTCCAGCAGCTCTCTGTAGAAGTGCAAGATAGCTGTTCACACAGAATTCATTGCCACTACTGAATTCACCACCCAAAATGAGCACTTACGAGCATATGGAGGGGAGGCCCCTGTGTTTAAATAAACCTTTTGCTGTTCTTTTTCAGTTTTATGTAAAAACTTATCAGCATAATGGCCCATCAGTGGGCATCCTTCCTTTGGACATGGGAAGCAGCGTCCCTGGGGAAAAACAACAATGTGTGTTACAAGATGTTATCCATTTTAATCCTACTTCTTAAAGTATGAGAAATTAGGTTATTTCAGTTTTTCCCCAGCTTTTTTGAAAAGGTACTTGCTTCTGAGTTCAGATAATATCTTCACTATTTATCAGAGCAGTGAAAAAAAGAGCTGAGATCATCAGTCAGCTTATTTCATCTAGTTGAAAATAGAGAGAAAGAGGTTGAAAATCTGGCCTGATTCCTTATACTCTTACAGGGACCATGAGTAAATATCTTAATGCATCTTGTGCCTTACTACCTGATCTGAAAAATAGAGTAATATATTAATCTTTCATAGGATCCATTGAAAGGTTGTCTGCTAATTATTATAAGGTGAGTAACCATATTTCCAAGGAAGTCTGGCTGGATATTTCACTTGTATGATAAAGATATTTAGGTTTAGGAACATTGAAGCTTGGGATTCACTTTGGAATGTGTTATGTCTGCTTTTCAGCCTTTATTCCCAAGTAGACCCTCAATGAAATTAATCTGCCTATGCAGATTGCGCATTCTCATCAAGATCTTGATGTCCATTAAAATTTCTAAAAAGATAAATGTGTATATTTGAAGTGACAGTGATTTAATTACTATTAGAAAAAGTAGTATTGCTATATTTAGATGTTTCGATTTGATATTTGGAAGGTTCTGCAGGAAGTGGTATTTGTCAATCTTTGGCTATTTGGGCATTAGATGAATAAAGGTCAAAATGATCATCATCACCTGTTTATTCTGAGATTGACACAACTGCTTCCCTCTCATCACTGAATTTCAGAGAGTTCAGGTTTTTATTCAAGTCCTGAATTACATCAAACTTCCAAGTCACATGGCAATGTTGCTAGAAGCATTAACAACTTTTCTGCAACATTGTAATAATTTCTTTTCAGAGTCAATGGAAATAAATTCAAACTCATCTTCCTCCTCGACCAGTTGTCAGTTGCATTTCCAGAATTAGTCCACTAAAAGCCTAGTTATATCAGGCATGAAACACCAGGATATTACGCTGCCTTCTTTCTTGTGCCACCTGAGGATAGCGTGAGCACTGCTGTGCTGTATAAATATCTCCCCTTCCCTATATACAGTGGATATTTATGTTTATACAGATGTTTAAACATTTCTGAAATCCAGAGGCTGCCCTCTTGATGATAAGTTCCACCAGGTTTAGACAGACTTCCTTCAACCAGAGCGAGTGTCTCCTACCACTGATCTACGCAAAAGGTGAACCCAGCCACTGCCTCTCATTGTCTTCTTACTCAACTCTTCATCTCTCTCTTTGCAACTGGTTTTGGTGTTTATGTTTACTGTCTTATTTTCTTCCAGATTTTTTCTTGGAGTTTGCTGATCTTACATTTCGCCTATTTTTTAAGTATGGTCTGGATGAGGGTAGTCAGTGAGTCTGCATAGTCCTCCTGTATCCTGTGATGTAGAGTATAGAAGTTGTCCCAGAAATTATTAAGAGAAGAAGGGCAGGGCTATAACCCCACAGATCAATATGTACCTGATACTTACCAATACAAAAGCTCGGTATGTTTCACACTGATATCCAACAAATGCATTCGGAGTGATAATACTCTCAGCATAATACCGGAGACTTCTTTTGTGCCCACATCCAATAGATCTATATTCTGGGAAAAAGTCCAGGTAAAAAAGGTTAAAACTATACATTAACACAAAGCCCACACCAAAGCAACAAGTGTTGGTCGTTTTTCCTCAAAAGAATTTGCACATATAGTGATGTCTCAGATTAAAAAATAGTAATATTTAAAAGACATTTAAAGTGTGAATGATTTGGTTTTATAGTAAAAAGTGTACTTATGGCTACATATATTTTTTTGATGGGAAAAAGCTAGGTTCTAATCTGTGTGTCACTATGCACATGCCAAAATTCACAGAAGTGGAGCTACACCAAGCCAGACCTTGTGCAACCTCCCGTCCTGCTATGTGTAGTTAACTGCTTTTACTTTAGCATGAGAACCGAGGAGGATTTAGGAGAATTTCCCTCTGATATTTCAAAAACTGGAATAATTCATAGCTACAGTGTCTGTAAAGCATACAGTGGTTACTAAGAAGCAGTTCTCGTTTACTTACCGTTATCACAACACGGTATTTTGTAAAACCACAATTTCCACTCATTTCTAGAATTAAAGGTAATTGTAGTAACGATTTTCACTTGAGCGTCTGTCAATGTTTTTAAGCTCTAGAAAATCTGCAGTCATTTGACAGTGGTGATTCTATGAAATGCTCTGAAAAGCAAGATGTTTGGCAGTGTATCCTTGATTTTGTCAGAATTATTTAAAAGAAGTACATTTTCCCATCAGAGTGAAGTGTGTAAGCAGTCAGAGCAGGAAAGAAGAAAGTGCTATTTGGGTTGTATTTACAGGCCCCGTGTAACAAGTATTGCCCTCATTAGCTCTGAAGTCTCTCCTTTGTCAAAGCCCCATATACCAAAGTTAGGTTGTGTAAAAATGGGCTCTGCTCCGCTTCTTCATGTGTGGGGGCTCACCTAATCACAGGGTGAAGTCTTGGAGGCACTGAAGTAATTGCAAGCTGGCACAGTTTATAGTGAAATCAGAATTTCACCTATTGTCAATATTTATGCACCTTAAAGACAGATCAGTTGGTATTGACCAGTTGATACATGTTGTTCTTTGTATAAAGAAAGAAAAAAACACCAAGAACTCTCCGAAAAGTACTTTTGTCTGTTTTTCTTGCAATAATCTGCATGATCAAGGCTTCCTGAGTATGTCTTCTTCACAGTTCCTTCTTCACATCTGATTCAGAAAGGTCTGTGCTTTTAACTTTAAAAATCTCAGCTCTTACTGTTGGCTTACTTTGTGCTAGTGCCAAAGTCACTTAACATCTGCACAATGGGAACATAATACTCCTCTCCCTGCTGCATCAAAAGCTGTAGAAAGAAGTTACTAAATAGCATTGCTAGAGCACTTCATACGTAAAAGCACTGCATAAATGTAAATATTATCCAACAGAAGAGATATGCACAAAATAAGGTCTAAACAAGAGGCAGGAGTTAAGGCTGTCACTATTTTTAGGAGCTGCATGAACAACCAGCTCCATCTGCCCGTGTTCAGCAGAGCTGGGCTTCTCCTTCACCGCAAAACATTAGAAACGGCCTTGTGAAATGTCTGTGGAAAATATTTTCTTTTTTTTCCTGAAAAGGCAAACATTCTTATGCAGTCTGATTGGAAAGTGTTTTGGTTCCAAGTGACTTTGTGCACAGCCAGCTTTCAGTCCTCTTTGTTACAAAGATCTCCAACCAGTTCTAAGACAGAGCATTTTTGAAATCCAATTACTTAACCAGGGGTAGGGATTTCAAAACATTTAGCTGTGAATAACATATTTCTGTGGGTTAGGATCAGAAGACAGGATTTTGGGGATCTATTGTACTGGATCCCAGGGTAATTCTTATTAACTGCCCAGCTTTCTTTGAAGAACATGAACTATCAACACAGCAGTCATTTTATCATTTCTTGTATATTTAACCTTGTGCTGTTCCCTTTGAAGACACTAAAGCTGTTAATGGCATGGATGAGTATGTCCGACTCCAGTAACATTGGGACCAATGTCTTTCTAGGGAGAAGGGAAGCTCAGATTTTAAAATACTCATTTTCAGATTATCCTTGAATGAAATTTTACTGGTCCTTCATGTGTGGGATTCCCACTGAGGTCAGTCTGCGAGCACAGTGACAGGCTTTTGTAACAGGTTGTGATGAACAAGTCTGCATGCTTTAACTGGAGCTTCTATCTGGAATTTGCCTTGGTTAGTATCCACAGGCAGCTTTAAATCTTACATTTTTGAGCATTCTCTCCCTACTCCAAATCTGAGCTACGTAAACAATACCTCCATTCAAAAGGCTCTACCGTAGCCTAGCCTTTACTTCCAGCTGCAGCTTATAATGAGGCATTACTTCTTTCAAATATGTTTACCTCTCATAAGGTCATTGATACTCCGAGTTGCAGGAGGTACACGAAGCTGCTTGCATCCTGGCATCTTCTTCCCACCATTTGGGTAAAAATCCAGGTGGCCACAAGTCTGAAGAATCCCTGGAGCTGATACATAAAATGAGTCAAGGCTGATCGCTCTCTGACTTGCTGTGGCCAACCTCTGTGTTGGTGTCAGTCTTTTTGTGAAAACTTACCAAAGTCAAAGAACAGGTGACCGGCATGAGTATGAATTATATCAACAAATTTTGCGTCGGAAGGATCCAGCCTGACCATTGCGGGAGTGTACTGGAAAAGGGGTCCGGCTGGATCTAAACCTAAAGAAATGGAGATACGTCTGATTGAGTAAATAATGCTACATGTATTTCATCACGTACAGTGTGTGTACATTGTAGTCTACAGTTCTACCTTTACTCCACATATAAAAATCCATTTTGTTGTCTGTAACAGCCAGCAAAACAAGCAGGATTTTAATAGGAAGGTGGCTAGTGCAGTAAAAGGATGATGGGTCCTTGGCTTACTTTTGGGGAAAAATGTTATAAGAACTTGGTTGAAAATGTTACTCCTTTGCTTCAGTGTCAGTGAGCTATCTTTGGGGCTAAAGCAACCTGGTTCTGATCCCAGTTTCCCTGAATTGCTTATGTGACTGCTTACGGTGTGCACAGCTTAGTCAAAGCAATGTCTATGCAGAGAAAAGAACTGACTGGAGGAGAAAGGAAAGCAGAAAATAGTGTGCCTTTGGAAACAGGGATGTGTGAGCGTGTCGTGATGCTGTGTCTCTCTGTGTAGCTATGTGACTAATGGCTTTCTTCCTTTTTCCATTGGTGACCATAGCTATTTACTGTCTCATCCTGACATACTAGATCTAGGGTTTTTAATGTTTCATTTCAGATTTTCAATCTTTTGAACTGCTGAAAAGTCATGTTAGAGTGGGCTTTTAAAATCAAATATGACAATGAGCTACTAACGTTTGACAAGTCTGTTATTCCACATGTGATACAGTATTTTGTTCCTGTTCTTTTACACCATTAAAAATCATAACTGAGTGCTCCCTGGGATTTGTTGTGACCTGTAAAAAGTGACTTCCATTTAGCTGGAGGACAGTTAAGCCTTTTTGCATCTGTCTTTCTCAAGGCTGTGAGCACTGACTGTGAAATGCAAGGCATGGCATAGGACATGGCTTTGCTTGTGTGCTGTCGTGCTAGCTGTATGCCTTTAATTACGACAAACCAGCACATTGTGGTCTCTATTTTGGGTTTATAAGGCAGCAGTGATTCTTCAGCTCTCTTAAGCTGCACAAAAGTATAAAGCTTTATCAGCTGAAATAGCCTCAGTACCTGTTATTCTTCCAATGCCAGGTTTCCTTCTCCCTGCCTCCCCTGCGGCATGTGCTCCAAGGCTATGGCCGATGAAATGAATGTTGGCAGGAGAGTAGCCATAATCTTTCTGTGAAGATGTATGGAAAGAAAGATACCAAGCGTGTTAAGCAGGCCGTGCCAGCCTGTGGCACTGCGTCACAGCCCCGTGCTGTGTCAGGACCAGCGGGTGATGGAGGGGAGTGTCCTGAGTGGGAAGTTACTGTTGTGGGTGGTGGGGTTTGTACTAAAAGAGAAGCGGTTCCTAACTCATCCCATCCTCTTTTATATCATGCCTCTGGAAGGGAGTGACCTCTGTCAAGAATTGGCCCTTATGATAGAAAAGAAGGAAAAGGAAATTTCTGCACGTAGCTCCTCTACATTTGCCCTGACTGTTTATCCAAAAGGTGAATGACCCCGCTACCTCATCCCTGAACCTTTCCGCCTGGTCAGGATAGTGGTCTGTGGTGGAGGAGTTCTCAGTGCCTTTGTCGGCAGCGTACCCTCTGTATGAATCCTGCTATGGAGATGCTTCACCACGCAGGTCCTGCAGGACAAGAAGGACCGTGTGAGGAGTGCTGCTGGAGCGCCAGGCTCAGCTGAGCTTCTGCATGGGAAGCCTGACATTGGTGGCTGCAGGAGAGTCGCTTCTCTGTCCTGTGATCCAGTTCTCACAGGAGGCAGGTGTCAGATCCATGGAGGGATGTTTCAACAGAATTGGCCCTCTGTTACTGCTCCTCATCCTGCCAGTTTTGCTAGACTGTCTCTAACCTGATGTCTTATCTGGTAAAATGCTCATCATGAGCAAAACTTTCAGAAACAATGGCCTGTAAGCCTTTAGGGACGTGCTTATCTGTGGTCTGACGCTGAAGTAGGTTTTTTATTTCCATTTGTGCAGGATTAGAGACTTTTTATGACATTTTCAGCTGTGTCATCGAGTATCTCTGTACTTCCTGACTCATTGCATCAAATCTAAAGGTGTCCACCCTGAACACAGCCTTTACCATACAGACTATGTGCTGGCGTTCACGTTCCATGGATACTTTTACCTCAAGAAGGTCCACCAGATAGACTAGCTCAGCCCCCACAATGCGGACGTTGTTAACGGCGTCGGTGTACAAACCACTAGAGCCACCGCTCCAGTCGGTCAAAATGCAGTTCACGTCTTCAGTGTGAAACATGAACTGGTGGAACACATGAAAACAGGAGAAGGAAATGGGAATTAATTACAGTTGTAGAAGAGTATGTGCAAACAATGTTGTGCTTTGCCATAGCTGAGGACTCACTTTCTTTACGTGACTGATAAAGACGTATCTTTAGCATATTAATTCCTACTGATACTGAAGAATCAACACAAGGAGGCAGAGTGGAGGCAAAGCAGAGGCAGTGATTTGAACTCTGTATGAAGACACACAGAAGAAGCTTGCTTCAGTTCTGTTCTCCATCCCAGATGCCTTGATTAGCTTTTAGGATATCAACTTCTCTTAATGACAGAACCTCAGTTAGAAAAAGAGGATAGTATCTTAGCTTTTAGGATATCAACTTCTCTTAATGAAAGAACCTCAGTTAGAAAAAGAGGATAATATGACTTCTTTTATATTGTCCAAGCTTTATTCTTCAAAATTTATATGCTTGGATCATCTAAAAGGATTCACAAATTTGTGTTCATGTGCTTGAATTGTTCAGCCCCAAAGTTCCTGTATTCACAAATTTGTGTTCATGTGCTTGAATTGTTCAGCCCCAAATTTCATGTATCTTAATCAAAATATTCTATTTATACACTTCTGGAAAATAAACATTCTGATTTTTCATTCTGAAACAATTCCATTTTTGAAATGTGCCTGAATAAAGTGAAACCAATCTGCTGAACAAAGCATTTTGTTGTTATTAGACCAAATGCCTCACTCAAACTGATGTTCATGTGCTTGAATTGTTCAGCCCCAAATTTCATGTATCTTAATCAAAATATTCTATTTATACACTTCTGGAAAATAAACATTCTGATTTTTCATTCTGAAACAATTCCATTTTTGAAATGTGCCTGAATAAAGTGAAACCAATCTGCTGAACAAAGCATTTTGTTGTTATTAGACCAAATGCCTCACTCAAACTGAAATGTTTGTTTTGACCTTTTGCTGAGGTAAGAAAAAAGACTTTTTTTCCCTCCTTTTATTATTGGCAAGGAATTGTAAAATCAATTAATTGTAGCTTTTGCTGTGGAGGTGAAGGCAGCAAAAGGCTGAAGCGTGCTGTACTCATAGCTAGGGGCAATAGGACAGTCACGTGGAACTGAGCTTCATTCTGAGATTTTTTTTCTCCTCATATGTTCCCTGAATCAACAAGAGAACAGAGGTGTAAATTTTAGGTGGGAATTTTAAGTGAGTTAGTGGGGAGATATGGAAATTTGCATTTTCAAACAAGTAAAGTAAGAATAGTCATACCATACCCTGCATATATTTGTTATCCAGGGGAGATCTGCTCCAGCAAGATGGCCATGTATAATGAAGCGAGTTTTCCTGTGTGTTCGAAAATTTGAAGCCTTGATAGTTGATGAATTTGTAGCAGAAATTTTCTGTGTGGAAAAAAACCACAACCAACAAACAAACAAAACAACAAGGATGTGACTGCTCCGTCCCAGTGTACATTTTGATACAAGGCAGAGTACCACAATGGTTAAGGCATAGTTCTGGGCTTTGAAGAGATGGGTCTTGTTCCTCACTCTTAAACTGCCTTGCTAGGGGATATCAATTATTTCCTTCAACAAATGATTGACTTTCTCTAGTTAATTGAACTAATGATGCTGCCATCCTTTTCACAATGCTTTGAGACATACTGGTACAACGTGTCATGTAAACACAAGATTTCATCCAAGTTGGATGTAGGAATATAAAGGTAGCATCTTCTGCAAAGTATTAAGTGGTTGACTTTGAATCTATATCTATTTTTCTTTCTTTTTTCTTTGAAGATAAGACCTTCATAGCTAAGCTTATTTATAAGATATTCCAGACAGCATAAGAAATCACATGAGCCTCAGAGCACCAGAGGCTGTAGGTATTCTGGGGTTTATTAAGAAGGAAGGCGTTATTTTCGTTTAAAGAAATTCTGAATACTGAGTTGGTTTAAAACTTAGCACTTTCTTATTTTTTGTTATGGTTTTGTAAGCTTAAAAGGGGATGTCATGTACTAATTAGCACACATCTCGCCTTCAGTGAAAGACTGATTAAAGCTAACACCTCATAGGCCCTCTCAGCTAGAGATGTTGGATTTGTTCTGAGGCGATTCAAACAGGAGAAATCATTAAACACCTCCGCTGCTTGTGAGATAGATATATATGTCTATATATAAAAAAAACCCCACAACTATGAAGCCTTGTTCATGTCATGTAAGCCAATAACAGCAATAAATTGCCCCCCTCCTTCCTTCATATTAATTTGTTTCATTTTTCTTGCTCTTTGTCCAAGTAAAATTCACACTCTTTGACGGTCATTTCTCTTCTTTCACCAGACTAGTCTATAACTCCACAAACCTGCTTTGAGCTACGGAGGAGCCCAGCCCAGATATCTCCAACACCTTGAGCATCCTGCTGTGTGCTTTTCCCAGCACTTGCTGGTCTTCAGAGGAAAGGGCTGACACACTGTTGGCATCTTTCAGTGTGTTCCTATTTGCACCATCCTATGCAGTCCTGCAGGCTCCTTTTAGCCACTTCCATTTGTCACTGTTGCAGTCCAGAGCTTCCTCTCGCTGCCACTAGTTTGTAGATGTCATAGATAAACTCACCTTTTTACTATTTTACTTCCATACAGCTCCAGAGTCTGCTGTCTCTACACTTCTCTACCTGATGTGCCCTCATGAGGGATAACCTGGTTCAGTTCTCTGTAAGAGAAACCTCCAAGCTCTTTCCATGGTATATCTTACCAAGTCTTTTTCTTTAGCTTTTTCTTCTCCATTCTCCCTCAGTCCCAGTCTTCCAAAAAATGTTAAATATTTGTTGATTTTCTTTATGCATCACTATTTCATTTTCTTTATAGTTTTTCCTTGTTTTTCTATATGACTTCTTTCTCTCCTTCATTTTTTCTTTAGTCTGCTGTTCTCCTTTCTAAGCTTTTCTCTGATTTTTCATCCTATTTTCCTTCCTCTCTCTGGTGAACACAGATACTTTCTGTTCTTGTTGTCACTCTTAACTCTCTGCTCTTAGGGCTCAGCGTGGGCCACCACATAAGCAGAGCCTGAGACCGATCATATGTAGTTCAGAGGACCAAATAATCATGTGTATGAACTATGTCCCTGAGTCATGTGTATGGGCCTGAAACATGTTTTTAATCTGGGGATACACAGGATCCAAATTGAGCTTTCCTTTTGTACTGCCTTCCCTGTCTCTGGCTTTATAATGCTAAACCTGAAACTGAATTTGGGCCATTAGCTTACTGTAGAGAATTGTATAAAATATATCCAAAATATCTAGGACGACTTGTGTTAGAAGGCTGCTATTAATATGTTGTAAATGTACCTGGCTCAGCAGAGAGCTAAAATGAGGAAAAAGAAAAAAGATGGAAGAAAACAATGATGGACTGTTTATGTGTAATATAGAATTGGGGCTTCTCCTGGGAGACTTATGAGCAAAATTAGGGCAGAAAAGAAACTGTTGTGTAATTTGTTGAATGTGTTATATACTATCAGTATTTAAAACCAAAGCAGTTTCTTACTTGATATTTCATTACGTTGTCTCTAGTGTAAAGAAGGAAATTGGTGTTCACATCTTCTGGAGAGCTGGGCAGGCCTGCCAGTTGTCTCCCTGGGATCCCAGACCAAGGGGGGCTATCTGTAAAGCATCCAAGCCTTTGGTAGCAAACTTCCCTTCCTGGAATATGCGAAGAAAAATGTTAGTGTTCTGGGAAAGTAGCAGGTCAGGCTGCCATCACTTTACCGGAAACTGGCAGGTAGTGTTTATACCATGGAAGCAGAAATTTGGATTAGGCTGGCACGCTTTAAGGGGCTCAGTTGTGCTCCTGTGCTTTGTGCATGTAGCAGTGACACAGGGACTTGAACTTCAAGACTGATTCCTGTTGCAAACACAGTGCAGAGCTCAGCTTGATGAACTCAGGAGAATGCAGAATTTGTTATGTCAAACATATTGTTAACACAGCCGTTGGAAAAAGACAATAAAATCTTGATCTTTAAGGATCCAGAGAACAAATCAGCTTTTTCTGCCAGCACAAGTCAGTGCTACAAATTAGTCCTAGTGCTCCAGGGGTTATCTAAATTGTTATTTCTTGTGCAAAAAAAAATCGTGAAAGACTAAAAAGAAACCAAAACATTAAAATAGATACATCTGATTGCTCCACAAAGTACATTAACCATCTCCTTTATTTTTTATCACCACAAGTTTTTAGTGGAAGCAATAAAGTGGAATGGGAGTGGAAGCCTAGAGCAAAGCACAGCCTCAGGAAGCGTGATCTGTGCCTGAAGGACTAGTTTCCCAATTTCTATTGTGGCTTTAATACAGTAATGATGCAAATATGACATACGGGTGTTGCCACTAAATGTCATCCTTACCCACTATTATAGCACAACAGTTGTGAAATCCCAAATAATTTTTTATTGCAATTAAAAAGATGCTGGAAACAATGAGAAACTATTGTTACCTAGGACAGGTAGGATTCATAGTGTGTCAGACTGACTTACTCTACTCAATCTGTACAAAATGCAGGGGTAGTGTGATATATATTGGAAATACATCTAGAGAAAGAGAAGATGAACTCGTGGAGCTGCAGCTAGAAGCTCCACAAGTGACACAGTCATTTTCACAGGGATCTTTCCTCTGATGCCAGCAATCTGCGTCTTTTTGTTTCTCTCTGCTACTTCTATGTGTCTGTGCCTGTTGAGCTGTTCTTTCCTGTTGGTAAAGAGGTGTTTTAGACTATTTTCTTGTTGTCTGCTTAGTGCTGTGAAGAGTAAGTGCCTAGGCTGGCATTACAAGTGCTGTAGCTACCATAAATGCTGGTGTGGTTTGAGGCTGGGTAGGGGAAACTGTTCTGGAAGAATTTTGGTATTGATTCATCTACCTTTCTAATTCCCATTCTGTTTGCTAGCAGCAAAATCTTTACAGAATTAGAACGTAATGGGTTAAATGTGGGAAAGGCATGGCGTAACTCAGTGCTTCTAACAAAGAAGTGTGTTAAATCCGTTTCAAAGCACATCCTTTTTCTAAAATACAGATATTCTGATGTAAGCTGCACACAACATTTTTTACTGTTTATAGACTTTATCAACTATGTGTCTTACCCCTGGCTGCATCAAGAAGAAATAGAGTAGTGATCCATGCTGCAAACATCTAAAGCAAATAAGAACACAATTCACACATAATTAAAAATAGAATCTGGAATTGACCTAAGGATTTCCTTGACCCATTAGAAAAAAAGTCACAGTGGCCATTGAAGTACTTCAGGTATTTAATGGTTTGGATCAAAAAGAATCAACACTTCCTCAAAGATAGCCAAGTTTCAAGAAAATATGTTTGAGATTCTTTCTTTCCCATGGAGATTTTGTATATGCAGGATATCCTCTAAGCATCTCTTAAAGATTGTCTTCCTGACCTTGGCAAACAGGAGGGTTTTTTGCTCTAGAGCTGCAGTTTATAGACAAGCAAGTGAAATTCTTAAAGGATTTGCAACAACATATTTTTACAGAGTGAAGTTTCTTTTAGCATTTAATAGAAAAATTACTCATAGAAGTGCTATTCAGTGATTGCATTCAAAAGAACCCAGGAACAAACTTAATTTGTGTTTCTAAATCATGTAAATAGTCTTGAAAACCGTTTTGATCATTGCTATCAGCCATGCATGCTTATCAGCCCTGATCTGCTTGATCGCTTAATCACCAGCTGATAGGTAAGCATCAGTAGATGGAGTAAATGGAACCAGTTATTTACTTCAAGGTGAAGAAGGGAAAGCCTTTTAAGTGTACTCTTACTACTACAGCTGGTAACTTATCTTCAAAGGAAAGAAGATTAGAAATGATTAGATTTCATTCTTATAAAACTCTAATATCAGGCCCTGATCCTCCAATGAGTCCTGCACAGGCAGAGTCCTGCATCCTCTTCCTGCCCTCCCTCCCCATCAAGTCCCCCCAGTCCCCTGAAGTCAGTAATATGATGTTAGAAGCAAAGAGCTCATCCCTGTGAAACCCACTGCAGGTTCAAGCATGTCCTACTTCCATCTCCTCTCCTCCAGCTACTCACCAAATACTCTATGCCTTACCACCATGCACCTTATTTAAGCTCCTTAGATGTTCCTGTCTCCAAAGTATCCTGTTTTACCTTGACAAGGCTCAGAGCGAGTTCTTTGGGTCCACCTTTCAGTTGATTGTAGCAAGCCTTGCAGAAGCCTTTTGAGGAGACTGGAATGAAGCAGGACAGAACTGTGCCTGCCTGATGAGGGCAGAGGCCAGAGGGATGCTCACCCCACCGCTGCTGCACAAGCCTTGGGTTCCCAGCTGCATCTGTGACTTTGTTGGGCAGTGCCACGAGAGGTATCTCCTTGTGTCAGGCATGCTTCATCTGAGATAACACGAACCAGGTCAGACCAGTTGCTGCATGACTCCACCTGTTTAATGCAAATCCAAATAGGGTGTTATTGTCATCCATTGGTAATTATTTTTAAAACTAAAAAGCACTGGGAAGTGTAATGTAAATACTGAACAAACACGTAGCCTTTTGGGATCAGGAGCAAGGTTGTTGCCATCGGCTGGGCTGCTCATCTTGGTTTGATGCTGAGTTGACATTCAAGTGACTTAGCGTCACACTGGATGGCTGTAGCAGAGCCCTGATCTTTTGGATCATACTCCAGGGTTTTAATAGCAAAATAATCCTTCCTGGAGCTGATCCCTGCCTTAAATAATTTACAGTACTAAGGAAAACTTTCAAATTTGTATTTGATAGTGAAGTCTACCATTACAACATCAAGACACAAAGGTGGTGTCGTGGCATCAAGTAGCATGTATGTTGGCAAGGTTTAAGCTGTTACCTGAGAAGAGGGAGAAAGAAGAGAGAAGGATGAAAAATGGTAAAAATTTTACATTTCTTAGTCTGTCATCTGTTATTTGTTCGTCTTGTAGTTCTCTCATCTATAATTTTCCTAATGGATGAATTACCTGACTGTTCTTTGAAAAGATGACAGAAATGCTTTTAAATAGGCAAGAATAGTTCCTTGGGCAGGTTGTCACCACATCTGATCACCATGAATCTTCATAATTAAATTGTATTAATTGCAGTAATTTTTGGTTTTAGTGTTTTGATAAGGATGTCTTTTCACATAGTACTATATCATTGTCATACTATTACGTTAATATTTCTGATCAGTCTTTCCTAGAAATCTTTTTTCCTGTATGTAGACACAAATGCAGAACTTGCATCTCAACATTTTAGTGTTAAACCCTTTAAGTATATTGGGTGACTCTTGGCACCTCCTAAGCCAAGGGTGTGCAGAAAGGGGAGACTCCCTTTTGGTATAATCCTTTCCAATGAGTGATGACTTATATCTATCACATACAAAACCACTAGGTTCAAGTGATTCTTGAGAGTGCTAGGTACAAAAAACATTCCAGGCTTTTTTTTTTTTCCTTGGCTGGCCTCGAAAGTTTGATTGCTTCAGATACAGATTGTAGAAGCAGGTAGATCCTCCATCTCTGTGCTCCATAAACCATAGCAGAAAATTAAGAAGGAAAGTTACTATGCAGCTCAGGGAGTTGGTTTTGTTTTTTTTTTTCATTTCCTCAGGACTAAGTTAGCCCAGTAAAGTGTTGAATAATTCACATTGAAATTCATTTATCTTCTGCTCACATAGCTAAAGGCTGTTTTTAGAGTGCAAATTGATCAGTTAACCAGAAACCAATAGAATTCAGCAAACAAAAATCCTGACCAGGTATTTGGAAGAAGCGGTTAAAAGCAACACTCAAAAAAAAATCTGCTTCCAAGTGTTCCTAGCTCATCCTGGCCAAAAACTGGATTTGGTGATAGTTACAGGTGCTCAGAGCTGTGATGTTACAGTGTACGGTATACACGGATCTGGTGATCATGTGCTCAGATCTGTGATATAGTATCACATTCAAAAGGAGTGGATGCTTGTTTTTTTATGCATTTAAGCATTTATAAACTCAGAAAGGCAGACTCACTAGATTTAAAGGGCCCCACAGAAAATTAGTATCTAATCTACATTGCTTGCTCCTGATTTAACTCTATTACATACACTAATGGACCAAAACCTCACCTCGTTCTGTCCTCACAATTTCCTCCCACTTCAGAAGGAGCGTTTACTGCAGAAGCAGGTCACTCGAACTTCTAAATTAACCTAGTTGATTCAATAAATTATTCTCATTAATTTGAATTTATAGATTTTACCTATAGATTCTCTGGGGAGCTCAAGAAATCAGAATCACCCATTACATTAAAGAAGCCTTTCTGGAACCTGGTATTATAGTCCCAAACTGTATCTCAACCCTCTGCTGCAACAATGGACTTCAACAGCAGTCTGGTGGTGACAATTTCAGATCACTTACAAGATTCAGTGACTTTGCCAAGTTAAAATTAGAATGACAGGGTATTTAGGGGCTTTTGATTTTACCTATAATGACAGTATTGCTGTCTCAGGTGCGAATATGTACTATACAATTCTTATCAATCATCATTCCAGCTAGTTCTGAGCATCAGTTGGACCTTAACTTCTCTTGGCTTTTCTCAGAACACATGAAGGGGTTATTTAGTGATGTTCATGCTGCTGTTCAGCAGTCAGTGAGGCACCACAGCTCTCCTCCAGTGTTTAAGACAAGGTTACCGGGAAGGTAAGGCATCTTCATATTTGTAACGAATTAGTCAAAGGATTTACTCCAGCAGACAAGCATGAAATGGGTTTTCTGTGCTAGTTTACTAATACCAGGAAAACTCGCAGCTCATCAACATTGTTAGACGTCAGCACTTTTGTGTCAGCTTCTAGAAAACTTCTCACTTTAATGGGGTTAACTACTGCAGTATTATTTGAGACCTGTGTAGGAAGTAGCAAGCCACAAAGTGCTGACTCTCCATCCCTTAGAAGTTCTCGATAATTTCTCTTCCATCAACTTGTCCAAGCTGTCCCTGAACTCATGCTCACTTTTAGCACACACAGCATCCCATATTAAGCAGTTGCATGTTGTAATTATGCGACTGAGAGAAGATTTGTCTCCTTTTGTTTGTTTTGAGGTGTGCAACTGCCAGCTTCATTTCATGCCCTTTGTTATTGGTGTGGAAGAAAATGAACAAGTCATTTTGTATTTGTCTTCTCCTAGACCACATTCACACTCCTGTATCTTTTCCAGACTGACTTTTGTTTTTCCCTCGTATGCCAGAGGAGGTGGGAAAATGACTGCTTATTCCATGGGCTGCAGTAGATGAACATTAGTCTTTTGCCCTCCATTACTAAAACCAGTAAGGAAAACTAAACAGCTGTTATGAAGTTTTGTCAATGAATGTGTGGGGTTTTTTTGAGGGAAGAAGTGGCCAGAGGTGGAAGAGGGCTCTTTCTGCAGCTCAAATACAGCTTTGTGTAGTCTCTCCTAAAATCTCCCTAAAGATATAGCAACATCTGTAAGAGAGCAACTTTCGTGATGAGGTACAGTGGATGTAATATGATAAAAAATAAGACTAATAGGAATAATTCATTTAAGTTATTTTGCAGGGCTGTTCATGCCTTTTTTTTTTTCTCCTTTTGTCCTTAAATTTTAATTGCAGCCACTTGTCATATCTTAACCTGGAGAGTAAAGTTTCTAACTTTCTGAGCAGGAACCTACCTATCTACCTACCTCTGCACATTGTGTGGTGTCTAATTCAGTTTTGGGTAGTGTGTGGATAATTTGTGCTATAAATGGTAACAGCAATGTAAAGGTCACCTTGTCCAGCACATCAGTTGTAAGGCCCTCCCTTCCCTAAGGAAGTAACCCTTTTGAATAAAACCCCCTAAATACTAGTAAGTATTTTTCTACTCTTTCTGGTCTGCTTGGCTGTAGAAATAGATATGAATAGATTATTGTTTTTATCTGCTGTTCCTTCATTATGATCCAGATTCTAATACTTTTATTGATGCCTTCCCAACGGGATCACTCATAGGATAAAATACTTAGCTAAAAAGAGAGCACTAAATGTTAAGTTCTGCTTGCTTTGTATTTTAATACCATTTAAACTAACAACTGTTGTGTGACTTATTCGTGCCTCTTATGGAAGCCCATGTTTTTTCCTTTCACTTCTTGAGGTGAGCCTGGAGATACTGTGAGATTTGATCTGCAATGCTCCTGACTGCGTTTTGTCCAAGAAATTAAAATAAAATGAAGGAGTTGTTTAAGAGCATTGTCTCCTATCTGCTGTCCTCATAGCAATATGTATTTCCAAAGATGTGAGTGTGTAATTCGCCATCCTTTATTCAGTGTTACCTCTCTGAGGTTAACTATAACACCTACTGGCACTCCAGAGAAGATGGGTGAGAAATGTTTAAGCTTCACAAGGAATACTGCAGGAAACATTCCCCTGAGCTTCATCAGACCTTCTAATGTCTCAGTCAAGAAGTGCTGTCTAGCCTGGTCTGTCCTGGATATATCTCACATAGCTGGGTAGGTCTGAAACATCCCACTGCTATGCTGCAAAGTTATTTAATTCCGTGTCAGTTTAGAGCTCCTAGAAAACTAGATATCTATATGCTGTTGATGTAAGGGTACAGAGATAAGCATCCTCTTTCAGCCCTAGTACTGTCATTTCGCAAAATTCAGTAACATCAGCTTTAGATTGGAAATAACTGGGGAAAAAAAATCATATTTGCATAGTGCTTCAGTTTGATAAAATATCCCTCTTCCTGGAACGGTTTAGAGAAGAAGAGAATTCAAGCAGTGCTAGTGAATTTAAGCTTTCAAGCTTGAAGATGTATTTTATTATTTTCACGTAATACTGGTGCAATTGTTAATAACTATCTGGTTAGGACTAGATTATGCTTGTCTCTACAGCAGCTACTTGCAGAGTGTGAGAGTCTAGGCTACATATTTGAAACAGATACAGTGGGTCAGAGCCACTGATTGAATTCAACAGCTAGACTGGTTTACACCAGGTAAGATCTGGAATTTCAAGATGTTGATTAGTTAACCACAGTGCAAAAAAAAAAAAAAAAATTAATAAACCTTTGGACATTTTTGTAACTAATTGCCATTTTTTCCTTTCTCTCATTAGCCATCTAGCATGAAATTATTGTTTTGTACTTTTGAAAAGTTAGAAATTATTTGAAAAGACAATTAAATACCATATAAAACGGATTTCACTGATTAATGGGAAAGCATGGAATAAAGATTCTAATCATAGCTGTTTTCCACAGCCCTGTAGAAGGCTATGATAAATGAATTGTAATTGATCATGATGAATTTTGTTATACAGTTTAAAGATTACATGAAGTGGTGGGACAGAAGCTCTATCTGAAGGCCTTTGATTTTGTATTTCTGAATTATAGCTGGTGATTATTAGTAAAATAGGAAGCCATCCTTTATGAGATAATTGGGACAAATTCCTATCTGGTAGCATAATTACTGAAATGCTATGCCTTTAGAAGCACTATATTTATTTTTTTTTATTTCCTGCTTCTGTCTGAAATTAAAGACAACATTTTATATCAGACAAGTGACAACAGCTTGCAAGATGGCTGAATTATTTTCTATATGTTGATAAAATCATTTTATGTATTTATTTCAGAAAGATAAGACTAAAGGTAGAGACATAAACATTCTACATATTCTCATCCCTCACCAGATTTCCTCCATATTTCAGTCTTAATCAGGTTTTTAATATCTTTATATTTCATTTCTCAAACCGTTAAATGACTGTGATTGTGAGAGCAGAACACTCCATGTTTAAAAATGGATGATAAAGTCAATAGAATGATATTATTTTATACAAGCTATTAGCTGCTCTTAAATAGAAACACCTAATAAAATAATTAGGTGGTTTCATGTTGAACCTTTGATGTGTTACGTGGCCGGGTTTATGTGGGTTTCGTCGTTCTTTTGCAAGCACTGGTTCTGTTCCATCACATTTCCTTTAACTTCGGTTGAGTACAGGAGGTTTACATCAAGGTGCTGTTATGTTTGTATCACTGTCTTTAGGTTCTTAACTACTCGTGGTGGCAACATGTGTAATGGTTTAATAAAGCTGCATACTGGTTTTGTAGCATCCTCTATGCTTGCAGCCTGACCTCAGGTTTGTGTTTGTCCCTGATCTGTGTCTTGTCTGGAGAGGACGTTTGAATTTGGAGCTGTGCACCTAAGGCACATGATGATCTATAGATTTCTCCCTCAGAAGGAGCCCTGGAAGGGGCTGACAGAAGGACAAGCAGGACGGGAATGGTTCCTGAACTCTGCTTGGTGCATCTCACCGGCTTTGCCACTCCCTGTACAAAGGGATGATTTACACAGGGAATAATCTTTTATCATATTTGCTTGTGATACAAGACTGCCTGTAAACAGGAAGTCTTCTCTATTTTACTTTTGAATATTGCTGTTTCTTCAGTTAGTTTGTTTTTTTAGTAGACTTTGAGAATGCTGTCAGAGTTTTAATGATTTGTGGGCCACTATTGAAATGAAATCAGGTTTTAATGGAGCACTACCTCTGCCCTCTGCTATTTTTGGAAGGTCTCTCAACACTCTTTTGAGAGGGGCCAGCAAATACAGGGTAGGCTATGAAGAAAAGTAACTAATTTATAGCATCTTTCTGTAAATGAAGTAATGAAAAAGCTACTGGACAGCATCCATTTATTTTGCAGACCAGCTAAATCAGTAGGATGTTCAATATGACTTTACAAAAATCGAGCATCGCCATTTAAATTTTAGGCCTTTTGGATCTGAAGTTACGAAAACACAGATTTTTTTGAAACTTGTGAAGACGACAGTCATGAGGAATACGGAAAAGTCTTTAAAGGGCCACCTTGCGTGAGAGTTATGAAGCAGAGTTGCAAAGCCCAAAGTCACTTTAAGCCCAAGGAGTGTGGGAGTGGGATGTTGCAATCGGCACAGCACGGAACACATAAAGACATTACCACACTGATTAGACCTAATACATTTAACTGGAGTATTTCATAATGTGAGTCCAGCCCAGCCTCTTTTCAAGGCAGCTGAAGGGATTGCCATTGTTCTCAATAAATTGCAGTATTGATTTCAGGGTGTATATAGTTGTGGTTCGTATTTGAGGTGCCTACAAACATCTGAAAAAGATGTCAGATTTCAGTAATGCTTCAGTGATCTGTTACCAGATGGGCACTAAATGCCAAGTGTGAAGAACTGGAGAGTGAAAAGCTTTAGGACTGGTTTCTGTGTGGGCTTTGTGCTTCTGAAAACCAGTTGGGCAGTTTGTGAACACGTCACTTGTAGATGATTGCAGCATGAGTTTTCACAGAGCTGTGTCTGTTGTGGGATTATTTAACAGTTAAATCTTATGAAAAGAAATAGTTCCTCAGCCATCCTTCTAAACTGCGTTTTAACTACTATGGACAGAGGATAAAATCTTCCAGTGGAAAATGAGGGCTTCTAGGCTCTCAGTCCTCCTCAGTCTCATGACCAAACACGTTGCAGATGCAGTGTACAGTCAGTTTGTGCGTGATGAGCAGGTTCTTGCTTCCCGGATGCATTTGAGCATGTGCTCTGCACTGTGCATGTGCACTTCCTCATCTCCTCTCCAGGAGAGAGGATGCTGAGACTCTGTTATGGGCACACTGTGAGCTGATTTGAATAACGCTGCTATACGCAAAGGAGGTGGCACTGATTATTCTTGTCATTTGCAACGTTAGTGACACACAACGTATGTAAACATTTTAAAAAAGTATTATCTGCTTTCTCTTATTACTAGCCAGACTGCAGTTTAAGTTGGTTGAGATCAGCGTAAGACATCTAATGATCAAAGTTAGAATTATCAACAGTTGCAAGAGACGAGAGCCACATGACGCCTGGGCTGCATGCGAGATCAGCCCTGGAACTTAGGAGTTTACCGCAGCCTTTGCCAGACTCATCAGGACCACTGCCACCATGGGGACAAACTACTTGATCTCGCTCAGCTGCAGTGTTTCACTGCTGGGGTTGGTGTGCCAGGCACACAGTCTCAGCACGCTCTGTTATTCATTGGCGATGTGGGCACGCTAGGCTGACTCTGCGTCCAGGCAAAGGGAAGCCTTGAGCGCTCATTCGGGATGAGAATGTGTCATTAGCCAGGCAAGTCAAGTTTTCAAAGTCCTCAGGGCTTCTGGTGATATGAACAGCAGTCAGAGCCTGCATCAGATGTGATAAAAAGTAAGGGGCCTCCAGACAGACTGCTCCATCATCTCCGGCTGCCGGAGAACTGAGCCCAGCCATCTCGCTGACATCAGAGCCTGGCCTGAGAAGATGGAGCGTTTGGCCAAGAAATCAAAGACCATCCTTATCGCTGGGAGTTTCATGGGTTCTAAGAAAACCAGCTCTTTTGTTTCTCTGAAAGACTTCCTGCTAGCCTCAAAAACATACTTCAAAGGGACTGCTTTTCACAGCTTTCATCTAGCTGCTGTCAGTTCTTAAAGTAATAATTCTCTCTTTCCTATAAAATATGAAATTTACCAGGTGAGGCAAGCTAATACTTTTTCTTTTTTAAATTTGCAATTTGTAACACAAAATGAAAGCAATAAGGAAGTTAAAGGCCTTTTTACTATAACACTGTTGTTATAATAACTGGAAGTACATTCACCGGCATGAAATCTTAAATGTAGTAGAAATGGCACTCCAGGAGTTCTTGGTTTTGCCTTTATAGATTTTTCTCTGTTGCACCCTTTAGCCCAGTAGGATTTAATCATTGAAACTTTTCTCATATCCTGCAGTAATTCTTTACAAACTCCTGAAATTTAATAATCTAAATTATTTTTTACGCACTATGTATACGTGTGCCTTTTGACATGTTTACTGAACTTACTGTATGTGATTCTGTATGATACATGAATGAGATATTTACTGGACATAATTTTTAATGCCATTGAAATTACGTCATTCAAGCGATAAAAGAGAGAATTGTCTTTAGACAACTACAGAATCTGTAGATCAGAGAGTGAGTTCGGTATGTGTTGTCAAGATTTACGCAATCCTTCTCTCCATTATGTAAATTCTGATTATAGAGAGCTCTGGGACCCAACGAGAAGCAATTACAGCCCTCCCAGTCTGCGAGGAGTACATGCAAGACTCATAATGGCCAAAAAAGTCATGGCATGTTTGGTATTCCATTATAAGATAAACCAGTTTCTTTCATTAATGAAACATTCCCCATGCCCTGCCCATAAAGAAAAAGTACTGACAGGGAACAACTTCAGAACGGTGAACTGCAGAGGAATAACGGTCTGGGTTACTGAGACAGCAGAGACAACAAGCCCCAAGTTCTGCCTTTTTGTGCTATAAATGTTCATACGCCTCAAACTGATGCCATATATACATCTAGAGAACTGATGAAGCAGGATAATATGTCTCAAAAATGATCATTTTGCGAACAGAATCAGGGTCTCCTTTTATTAGAGAGCTCCCTAAATAGCCAAGGTGTCCTTCCAACATTAGCTAGGTTGATATGTGAATACCAGCATCTCTACCCATAGTTTCAGTTGATCTGCGAAGACACTCTGGTCCCTAATTATATGTGATGATTCATCTAAATTATCAGCCCCAGGAAGGAATGCTTTCTGGTTCTGCGGCTGGGGTCCATGCTCTGGCAACACTCTCATCATATATGAAGGTGAGACCCAACGTGCACCACCCTTCTTCACATTGCAGTCGGCTGGGAAGAGTGCTGCATGGTGAACCCCAGACTGTCTCAGACTTTAAACCTAAAGTAGAAAAAACAGCTTTCATTGCTTTCTTGAGTAGCATCACTAGTCCATTATTGCCTTAAAATAATATAGGCTGTAAACTATGCATTATTAGCTTGCCTCATTAGTTAATCCCATTAGACTGCTATATGCAGGCATTTTATCAGGAAAACTGAAAGTTAATTACTAGGAACACACTTTTCCAGTTGCATTTGAGATTGCATTGTAGATCGACGACTTGAAAAGGCTCTTGCTTTGGTGCAGTGCAAACCTGGCCTCCTAATTTCTTGTGTTTAGGTAAGAGGGCATTTGATGGTTGAAAATGATGCTTTCGCCAAATGGTGTTTGGATAAATTACATGTATAGGATGGCAGCACTGGGAATACACTCCACTTTTATTACCAGTTTGCATTACTGATGTTCCTACGAAGCTTTGCTTGAAGTGGGAGTGCAAAATGCAGCAAAGCAGCTGTGGACAGACAGGTCCATCACCATAAGTCAAACCAAGAGCCGCCTGGGTCACTGTAGAAGTTGCTTATCTCAGTACGTAAAAGTCCATGACTTCTCTGATTCCTGTTCTATTAAGCATGGAACTGTTCCATTAAGCACTAAGGGCATGTAGTGATAAGACAAGGGGAAATGGCTTTAAATTGAAAGAGGGCAGATTTAGATAAGATATAAGGAAGAAATTTTTCACTCAGAGGGTGGTGAGGTACTGGAACAGGTTGCCCACAGAAGTTGTTGATGCCCCATCCCTGGAAGTGTTCAAGGTCAGGTTGGATGAGGCTTTGAGCAACCTGACCTAGTGGAGGGTGTCCCTGCCCATGGCAGGGGGGTTGGAACTAGATGATCTTTGAGGTCCCTTCCAACCCAAACCATTCTATGATTCTATGATATTTGAAAGAAAATAAAATAAAAGCTAGGAGTGTTGGCAAGTGGATAGCAATGTTTGCATGCAACCATATATCCACAAACAGCTGTTGCGTGTTGTTATTAAAGTTTAGGATATAAATATGGAGCAGTATATTTGAGATCTTTGAAGTGGCATATACTAGTATCTTCTATCAGGTAGAAAATTACAATTTATGTCATTTGAATCCTCAAAGGGTGTGAAAAGCTCTATTTATGTGCATTCAGTTCAACAGGAATATTTCAGTCCCAGAGTAATATGATCTTCAAATATGTCTGATTTCTTATATCGTATTTGCTTGAGTATTTTCTGAGAGGCACCGCCATGAACCATTTGGTTTAAAGAATTGTATTGATGATATAGTTGGAGACAACTATTTTTACACACTAATCTATTGGCTGAGGTGGTTTCTCTGGAAACTTGAGAAAGATCGTTCTCACCGCAGTCTTTATTATTATTATTATTATTATTATTGTTATTATTATTGTTATTATTACTATTATTATTTATTTGTGCTATTTTGTTTGTTAAAATTAGTAAGAATATATACTGATTGGATGAGTGTTTCTTTTCACTGTTTCTGGCATAGTTACAGCCAGGAGCCAGAGTTATGGTTTACATTTCTGAGTGTGACAGAGAGATGGATAACAGCTCATATTTGTAAATATCCTCCAGTGAGATTCTGCAGGGATTTTTTGTTATTTCTCTTTACAACTGGTTGCCTGAGGAAAGTGAATTAACATAACTCTTTCTCTACTTAGTTTCACAACTTTGTTATGCTCTTTGAGCTGCCCCACTCTCTGCTGAGCCAATAGCACCAGTCTTGATTTGTTCACCTCTCTCGCGGTGCACATCCTCCTACTAAGCCAATCCTAGTCCTAGAACTTGAACTCAGTGTCTGCTCTCCCCTTCCTACACGTCACCTGCAAAACATTCTTCTGCTTCAGTTCATGAGTATCAAGTATCGTAACGATGCGCTCAACGCTTCCCAGGGTAACTCTGTGGCCCCACTGCAGGAGCATCGCTCGCGCTCCCTTCACCATGCAGTTGCGCTTCCTGCTTGTGACTGAAAAGAGATTTTTAGCTCTTCTGTGATGCCATGTAATCTGTCTGTACCACCAGGCACCAGTTCTCTTCCAGATGCCCTAAATAAATATGAATGCTCTAAATTTATAGGTGATAATTTTTGTGTGAAGATTATGTCTGTGCCTACTTATATAAAACTCCCATCTTCTTATGCACCTGC